TAAATGTAGTCATGTGTACATATATATGTATATTGCAATGCGACATGGCATTGACATTCGAATGGTTTTACATGCAACATTCAGTGCTGATGTTTTGGCCCCGAGCTGCTGTGATATTTTACAGATTCGGCATGCAACATTTGACAGTCGCAGTACATATCTACATACGAGTATATATGAGTGTAAGTTATATGCACATAAATATGAGTCTAAATCTATATACGTGTATATGCAAAAATGCGTTGTGATTACTTTTTTGGTTTTGTGTTGAGATTTTTTCTAAATTTTTTCGCGATGCCACCAACATCCAAAAGTTAAGGAAAACTAATTTAAACACAAAATTTAGTTAAATTCCCAATTGCGGTTGCCCCCGGCAGAGAATGTCCACCCCTTCGAGTGAATTTCGAACATGAAATAAAGGCTCCTCGTAAAATGGGAAAATATGACAACTAAGAAGTTTGAATTGAAAAGAACTTAGATGGCGGAAATGTCGCTGGTTTCACGTAGGCATTCCATGGAGTACTGAGGGTCCAGCCCAGGCACATCGCAATGCCAAAAGAGGTTTCAGGCAAGATGCCTCCTTATCATTATTTGTGTGATCAAGCCAATGATGTCAATAGATAAATTAGATTCTATCCATTCGATACGAGAACCATGAGTAGGTGAACCACTTTAAACATGAATCCAAACAAGAAGACAAAATCATCATCTAGTTCATAAACGAGAAGAAGATAATTAGCTTAATTTCAGTTAACTCATCTGGCTAATATTCTTTTATTCCACATTTCTTCGGAATAAAAGGCAGTTCAACATGCCCCTATATGCAATCACAGAGGCCTCAAAACGCCTACTTATCGGCAAAAAAACTTGATGGCAACTTTTTGTCAAATTAAATTTGATTGACTTTCAATGCTAGACTCAATCGAAGCTTATTACCCTTGACACAATTCACAATCATATACGAAATAGAGATAAATATCTCAAAATTATGCTACAAAATATTATATAGCAAATGATTTATGGTCAATACATGTACATACATAATATTATTTGAATAGAAAAATAAAATTAAAAATAATTTGCGCAAACGCGTTAAAATTATTACGTACACGTATGTACAGGTGTCCGTAAATATAATATATAATACTTTTGATAAGTAGCGTTACTGTTAGTAATAAGCTTTGCCCTCGTGTTTACACTTATGTTGATGAATTGACAGGTATCCTCCTCCATAAAATCATTTATTCAATTTGAATTTGGCCAACCACTACTTACCCAGCAAAGATTGTGAATTTTTGCGAAGCGAGGCCGAGAATAAATTATTGTATGTATGTGTGTATGTATGAACGCAATAGCTTTTTCGTCTTCTTTACTGACGTGGATACAGCTTAAGCGATTATAGACGAGTATACAGAAGCAGACCATTCGAACTTGCTCTTCGTTGTTCAAGGTTAATTGGAACTACCAAGTGTAGCCAGGAGCATATCCAGGTGATCCTTCAAATGAAGTAGAGGTCTTCATCTTTCTCCGTTTCCATTGGCAGGTACTGCATGGCATAGTGGACCCCATGAACTAGCCAGCGTAACCGCTGTGTCTTAATTCGCTGAACTATGCCACCTCATACCTCGTACTGCTCATCACTGAATTTTAATTGCAGCATCTTAACGCAATAGTTGCTTGAAGAAAATTTCAATTAGTAATGTTTTCTTCGAAATTGTTAGTACTGATTGTATGTACATTATCTCATTTAATTTTATAAGTCTGCCTCACCAAGGTGCTAAATTTGTCTCAATTAGCCAACCAATTATTGTTAGTATCGGACATTGAGGATTCCTCATCATTGAAGGTGTGGACTATGAGCTATCTGTGGGGTCGACAGTCATTCGAAGCCAAACTTCCAAATTCGGTAAGATTAAACAAAATGCGCTCCCCGCTTCTATTTAATTTTACAGCTTCATCCTTCACCAGACAGCATTTTATTGATATCATATGCCGATAACTGGTCGATATTGCCCTCAAGACAGGACATTGATATCTTATCTTCGAAAGTAAACTGATATCCCGCCAACCTTTCTTCAATTCGTCACTATGCAGGGGGAAATATGAAGAAACGATTCTACCGTCGAGAGCACCTCAACATACATTTCCTTTCAGCACTGCCATTCACCGAAAGTTCGTCAACACCTTCACGCACTCTCTTCCAGTGAACGATGTTCTCGGAATCCAAGCACCACCTCAGCCCGAGCTATCTCGAGAGTCCCGAGTTATACTGGCGCAATTAAGAATTGGATATTGTAGTCGACTTAATTTCTACATATCCAAACCCTGACGATGTCCTGCCTGCAGAAAGACCATACACGACTAGATTTTTGTATACCCTAATTATCTATACACTCTTTCTCTCTGGTCCAAGCCCGTCGAAACAGCTCGTTTCGTGAACTTTTCGCTAGATGACCTCTTTTCGTTTCGCGGGGTTGGAGAAAACCAACGCGTACATATGACATATCTTGTGACAATCTATTCACCTTTATAACTCATCTTCACAGTTTTCTCACCAACTACATACAATACATGTCTTCAAAGAATGCAGATCGATTAGACATTATTAACGCCAAATTTATATCATTATCCTTTACGATGCAATGTGACGATGCCTTTTCAATATTCATCAATGTTCTCTTTATTTCATGGCAAGCAAGAAACGGCGAAGTTCGACAGTTTGTGAAACCAGTGCCGTGCTTCATTTTGATGTTAACGATTGAATGACATATGGCAAGAATGTTGAGCAGAGGTGAATGCGTACATGTACACATGTACACATATATACAACAAGTGAGCACCTGTCCTTTGGAAGGGCCAACGGGCAATCAACAACCGGTGTCATAGATGGACAACTTGAACGGCTTTTAAATTTCAATTTTATTCGTAAATTTCTATATTGAAATGGACGTTTTCAGACCTTAGACCAGCAGGAGCAATAGTCTTCATACAGTAAACAATAGTTATGCGAGATTGTTATACCATGTGCTTCATTTATTTTGCTAGAATCCCTTCGAAGTGTTCTTTTCTAGCTCAGCAGTGGACCTACTCTTGTATAGGGAAACGTTGAGAAACTGGTCTGGTCTGGTCTGGCCATTCCCAATTGACTTTAGCACACTCATCCGCACAGGCATCCGCACCTTAATGTTGGTAACAAGTTGGGCGGCTATGCTGGTTTTGTTGTAAGTCTCAGCAAGACAGAACTTGTCTTATTCACAAAGAGATATATGATCTCAGTAGCGAGTTCTCTCAATAAGTGATATTCCCCTTCTTTCGTCAAAGAAATTGAAGTACTTGGGGACAATTCTAGACATGACAATCTCCTGGAAGGCAAAAATCGAGGAATGGTAATTGCTTGAAAAAGCTGCTGTAAGTCTTAGGTGGTGTGGGTCATTGCTGGGATCAAGTAGGGGGAATCCGCTGTTCGTTAGGTTAAGCCCCTGATTCATCACCATTACTGTATCCCCGTGCTATATTACTGTATCTGGCACCGATTGGCTCATCCTCCACTATAATCCCTTCAAGCGAGGACTGGAAGGGGTAAAGTCACTGAAGGAAAGGAGCACATAACTTTTTTAAAGATGATTTCAAGTTTGACAGGAGATTCAAGATTAATCCATCTGTATGGAATTTAGGATTGAAGCGATAAGAGGTAATTGTTTTCGAAGAAGGGAAGGGTGTTGACATTGAAAATTTTCGAAACGCATACATTTACCAATCCAAAAGATTTAATAGAGCAACCACATTGATATCAGGCGAATTTCCAGATTCCTGACTCTCCCTAATCGACTCACTAAACCCAAACTGGTCTAGAGATCCGAATATTTTTAATCTGTGTGGCATTACGTGCCTGAGCGAGATCATTTTGGAATCAGCTACTTCTACCTAACTTAACTTAACCTCACATAATCTCATATGTTTTTAGTCATCAGCTTGCTCATCGAAATATCCCAAAGCCATTTGAATTGCATCTGACAAATTCGAAGTCCGAAACAGATGTTTTTCACCATTTTTGGTTCACACGAGCGGTGCTTTATACTAAATGTGTTTAGTTTTGGAGTACTCTTTCATTCAACTGAAATATATAGCACTGCAAGTCAGAAGTGCGCCCTTTTTCTCAGGAAGGTGATCGCTCAATCACAAGCATACATTTCAATAATCAACAGCTAAGGCAGTCAAGGGCTTGGTGGCAACACACAATATTTCGCTGAATGTCATTTGCGAAGGAGCGAGTCTGAGCAGAATGTGGCTTGGCATCCTTATGGTAGCAACAACTATTAAATCCTTTTTCTTTTCCGAAACTTCCGTCAAAACTATTATCAACGTCATCATTTTGAATAACACTTTAGCAGCCAGTGTAATTGTCGATGCCGATGCCTGTCAGCCGCAGCTTTGTGGTTGCTGATTTTATACAGTGCTAATGCTGAAGTTTCGTTCGACACCTGTATGCAGCCACTGTTGCAGTTGAGCAACTCACTTACCATCAAAGTGCTCCGCTTGCCAATGTAATGTAATCAACAGCTATAATAACAACAACAATAATCATTAAAACAATTTTACTATATCTCAATTGTTGGGCATAAATTGGTTTCTAAGAATGTTTACTTTGATTGTGGACTAACATGTTTGTTGCATTGTTGTTATTGTTGTTATTGTTATAGTGTTTTGTTGGTAAAGTTGTTAATTAAGGGCACAATGGTTGCGCATGCGCAAGTCGCCAACACATAATGATTGTGTGCTAAGGCACCTGTTATGTACATATATATACATAAACACAGAACAAACATACTCGTACATACTCACATATTCTAGCCAACTATTTGAAACGTGAAAAATGCATATACATACATATGTATAAAAAATACAACGCATAGTCTTCTGTTAGATGATATTAAAAAAAAAAATATTTTATAAAATAATATATAAAAAGTACAACAGAAAAGATAAAGAATTCTCTGAAATTCAGAATATAATGTGTTCTAATAATTGGTGGAGGTGAATGGCTAAAATAATATAGTTTAGAAAAAAATGGTATTAAAATCGATGGATCATCACTCAATAATGATTGAGCCCTAAAATTGCGCCTTCAGAGGTAACGTCATCCATCCATTCTTAACAGTTCCTAGAGAGCAAGCGTTTGTTTTTATACACCGCCAAGTTACGTTTCATATGCGTATTTGTATTTTTTCTTAGTGTTCGGCTGTGAAGCAAAATATAATGTTTATTTTATATAATGTATTTATATAGTAAAGTAGATCGGAAAATTACCTTACCTAATAACCGCCTTGCGTTTTTTCGCAAGTGGATACTGTCAACATCCCATTGGAGAGTGGTGGGGAATACCTATGAGTCGTTCAATCGTAAGCCATTCCATCTATCGCGTAATATACAAAACCAACCGTTCGATGTTTTTTGCGATGGTTCGATTTCTTATAATCCTAATTGAGCGGCAAGCTGCAAAGGAAATTTTTGCCTTATCATCGCCAATATAAGTTGGATTGTACTCATGTGTCGATCATGAGCTGCAGAAATCATGAAGTAGCCCATGGATACTATTCTATCAATGTGCAAATGGTGAGAGTATTTTTTTCAACTGTTATTGTATTAACACAGCTCTCTTTTATTTTGTTCATAGATACTCGATTCTTATCCCCAGATTTTAGCGGTAATACTTAATATGCCGCAAGGCAGCAGGGTTCATTTATATAGAATTCCTCTAGAGTGCGAATAGTGATGGACCCCAGTTTGGAAAGTGGAACATATTGTTGACTGGTAAACAAACATATAACATCTGGTTAAAAGCATGCAATTACCGGCTTTTGACATTTTCAGACTTCAAATTTATCAGCCAGCAATAACTTTTTTTGCAATAATTGTACTTTGGCAGATTTTAACGTGAAACATCAGATCAGTGGCGACCTAAGAAACGTTGTAAATAAGGAAAAATAAAAAAATTAAAATTTTAAACCACATGGAAACATGTTTTGATGTTTGTATATATTTTTGTTTCTATCACGATTTTATGAATACCCAGTTGCGGCTGAGGTTAAACAAATTATGCAGGTTATGAAATTTTCACTTCCCTCACCTCCCTCATAAACATATAAATAAGCACTTATATTTGTAGGGGCAATATACATACGTATATATAGTTTTGACGCAAGGACGAATTTTTATCATTAGCTTTTGCATCTCATGTCCGAAATACACCGGCAGGGGTGGATATTACCTGTCCATGGGCGACCGCGATTCCTCTCTCGGCGAACGAAAACCAAACTCTACAAGTCGCTCATCGTTCCCTTTCTATTACCTGTCCATGGGCGACCGCAATTAGTAAAATTGACGTAACTTTTTTTGTTTAATTAACTTGGTATAAGAATTGGTAGGGCCAGGACTCGAACCCAAGACCGCTCGCATGGTGGTACACACTGCTAGCCAATTGGCAATGCCACCACAGATATCAATGAGAAATCCTTATGTTGAAAACAAGTTATAGTTTTTCCTGACTTGTTAACGGCTCGACCGAAATAAAATTCAACTTTATTAAAAGAATCTCGGGGACCGATTTATACGGTATAATCTTAGTTACGATTCAATTTGAATTTTTTGTTTATTTTCGTTCGTATGGGCTGCTTGAACTTTTCTTCTCTGAAAAAGGTTTGAAATATATACATGTGATTGGCGCTTGGCAACCACTGAAGCAAATTTTCAGCCGAAAATGCTGTCATCTACCCCGAGATATTCGCATCACAAATTCCATGAAACGCAATCAGTGTAAGAGACAAGTTTAATCGCGATCTTCCGCGGTCAGTCTCATGCTTAGAACAGTTCGAACTCTGTCTGATGAAGAGAAAGATTTGAAAAACTTTCTAAATTAACCCATGTTGAATTTAGCAGTATATAACCCCCCTCCCCCCTAAGACAAATTACTTTCGTGTAAGATTCTACAGTCACCAAGGTTATACCGTACACTTTCTATTAAATGCATTTAAAGATTTTTGGGCAATGTAGAGAAAAAATTTTCGAACATTTTCTTATAGACTTTTCATCGAACTCACAGGATACTTATTTATATAGATATGTACCCCTTGAGATAGGCAACTTAATGGCTTGGTGCTACGTTATGAGTGCGCATATGTGATGTTTAATGTGGAAAAATTACGTACTATGTAAGTAACTGTATTTTATTTTCAATTTCACTTGTCATGTTGTCATAACGCCACGAAAAAAAAGAAATAGGAAAAGGTGAAAACTCATGGTTTCTTTTGATTTTTTTTTTGCATCACAAAATCGTGAAAAGTTTAAAACTCAATAAGGAAATGAATTTACATTCATACATATGATTAAAATATGCGACATAAACCACAGCATTTTATGCCGATATTCGTATCTGCAAAATATTGAAAGATTTTGAGATATTGACATATCTTTTCTTTTATTACTTATGTATGTACATACGAGTATTTGTATTTAGGTATATACATGCATATGTATGCAATGTACGAGTCGATACTATTTTCCTTTTTCTGCAATATCCAAATATTTTGAGTGTGACTTTACCCGATTTCGATAAAATTGATCTACGAAATTTAAATTTCTTTGTTTCTTTTGAAACTATTATTACAAGACTTATACGGCTGTGTAAACTGACCTTAAGCAACATCGAAACCTCCGTTAGAATCGGAAAGGATCTCTAAGAGCCGTTCGATACCAAACGAGGGTTCGGACAGGGTGGTTCCTTAATGTGTGACTTCTTTAATTTGGTGTTGGGGAAAATGATACGAGCTGCAGAGCTGAATAGGGAAGGTACAATCTTCTATAAGAGTGTACAGCTGTCTTGCCAACAGGTGCGACTTTGGACTGAGAAGGCAATTGAAAAGTAAAGTCCTCTCTCGGCGAACGATAACCAAACTCTACAAGTCGCTCATCATACCCTTCGTACTATATGGCGCAGAAGCGTGGACGATACCAATATCTGATGAGTCGGCTCTATGAGTCTTCGAGAGAACGGTTTTGTGAACGATTTACAGTCCCTTACTCATTGGCAACGACAAATACCGCAGACGATGGAACAATGAGCTGTTCGAGCTATATGATGATATTGACATAGTCAAATGAAGAGACAGCGACTACGCTGGTTACGCTGGAGAGCAACCTGACTTCACTTGGTATTTCCAATTGGCGCCAAACAGCGTAAAGAAGAGACGAATGGCGCGCTAATATTGAATAATAAAGAAGAAGAAGGTGATTTTCTACATTTCTTTATAATTTTCTTATTTATGGTTTCCAATAAAATTCTGGAGAACATTCATAAAACAAGGAAATCCACACCCCAAAGCTCAACCTGTTTCAGATATGATAGAGAAACGAAGTGAATGGATCGTGTGATGACTACATCAAACAGGGGAATGGAAGCAGTGGCGCGCAATTGTTGTTTCGGCTATAATCGTGCAAACAGTGCTTACGCTAATGAAGACTTTAAGGTACTGAGATCGAGGTCTTGATCCTAAAAATATATCAACTTGCAATACGACCCTTCCTTGAGCACAACTAGAGATCTCTATCAGTTTCATCAAGATACCATATCTCAACTTTCTCTCACTATCAACTTTACTTCCGTTATTTTTTGAAGAAAAAATTGGAGAATTGCGATGTCAAATATTGCTAAGGCTCAAAAACGTATTTAGTAAAACTGTAGTTTTTTCAAATATCTTTTTAAGTATCGAATTTGATAAAAAATTAATTTAAATCCGTCCGTGCAGCGTGTGCTTTTCGTCTAAAGCAAACCAGAAAGGCTTCGAAAAATGTGCAATTAATAATGATCATTATATAAATTTTATTTATGTATGTACATATTAACTTTGCAGCTATGTACATATGTACATATATGTATCTATTGCCTTACACTTGGCATTGTTACAGTAGAAGACTTGGAAGACTTGTATTTACACGTACCATCAAGTGCATTTGTTGACCTGCAACTACCTCAATGGCAAGGTGTGTCTTCAACATCACAATTCAGCAATATATTTGACTAAGCTGTTGAAGAGCGGCATCTTATTTGTTGCCATATTCCTAGCACTTTAGTTGGTTACTTGGTGTGGCTCACAGTTGATGCTGATGGTGATGAGACTCAGCCTTTCTGTGTAATTATTTGCATTCATTTATTTAATAATTTTTCATCCTGCTTTCCCTGCTTGCCCTGCCTTGCTTTACACAAATGAATAAATGTGAAATTGAGTAATTTAAGTGCAATTATTTTTGCATTAGATTTTCCATTAGAATACTCATTTCACATTTGTTTCAATTGCTGTTGCATTCAATGTAGGAATGGTTGCGAAAATTAGTGTTTTTGTTGTGGATGTTGGTGATGTTGTTGATGACGCTTTAATGTTTCTGATTTTAGTGAATAGTAAGCAGATTGTCGGCAAATCTGTGAGAATTAAAACGAGCATCTCCCAGCAGCAAAAGCATTTTAATGCGTTTTTAAATGGTTCAATTTGTCGAGTGGCTGTGGTGTAACTCCTAATAACTTCCGCATAGCAAAGTTGGGTATAAAAGGCATCATATGTTAGTGCAACAGATTGAGGATTGTTTACATGTAAATATGATATGTACTTCAATAGGATTGAGGGGATCGCAGCTTCAAAGTAAATCGACTTTTTATCATTGTATTAATATAAAGACATCTCGAAAATATTATCCTATATTTTCAAGTCGACCCGAAAAAATATTTCGGAGGTACAGATTTGGGACGCTGCTCGCTCGAAATATTTAGGTTCAGCGTTTTGACCTCCAAATACGTTTTTCTCGAAACTGTGTTGTCAAAGGTTCTGGCAACTCATTCAATCCGTCGGGTTATTCATTTTGCAGTTTCTAAAAAAAAAAAATAGAAATCATTTAAAAAATAATTATTTAAAAAATAAATATTTTTCAAGAAAACCATTTTTGTTATAAAGTCAGAAACTTCGCATTGCATTTATATCACTCAAATGACCACTGCTATCCGTTTGGGGTAATTTTCGACCACTTTCGGCCCATAATGCGCCGTATGTCAGCCATAACTTGATGAATGTTGGTTTTCAAGTGCTCGGCCAGAAAATTTCTCTGTCAATGAAGCCATATTCGCTCATGTTGTGTAGAATGTGGCCCCATTTTGTTGAAGCCACACATTATCCAAGTCGTTTTCTTCAATTGTAGGCCATAAAAAGTCGGTTATTATACGACCATACGAATGGAGAGTTAAAGTGTCGCAGTTGTCGTTTTCAAAGATGTAAGGTCCCATTTCCGGACTAAAGAACGCACCAGATAGTAAGCTTTTTTTTTGGTACAATGACCTCTCTTCCATTATTCTCGGACTATCGAAGCTCCAGATGCGACAATTTTTCTTATTTATGTATTCTCCGAGTGAAAAAATGTGCCTCGTCGTTGAAGAAAATTTCGCTCGGAATATACGTATTCTGGTCTTTGGCTAAACTTTCAATTATTTGTGGTGAAACGAGCAGATAAGCTCGACAGATGCCAAAATACAGTCCTGTACTTTTGAAACCACAAAATGGATAGCCTTATGTATCTGTAAAACATTGAATAGTTTGAATAAAATATTAAATTTTTTATATGCAACATTTTGTTGGAAAATTTATATTTTTTCCCCGAATAAACCCATGCTTAAGGAGTTTAAGCAAATTTCGTTCGAGCTCGTTCTGCAATATGCATTAAATCTTCTCATAAAAGTTGAAATACTCTCCCTAATTAGATTAATGGCGCTTACTGAATATTTATGGTCCTTACCGCATTGCCAGCGGCGAGATATTCGAAGGCATTTACAAAGCTCAGGGAATTAAGCGACATCGGTTACTTTGGATAAATCATGTCGTCCGTATGGGCGACTCCACCATGCAATGCCGCAGAAAGCAGATGAAGCCAAGGAACTCCATTCTGATCGAAATAATAGATGAAGAAGAGCATGGCTTCACTAGGTACTTTAAATTGGTGCCCAATATCTATGTAAATTTTTTGGTTCGACCAGAATCATGTATGTATTGTCTATGGCAACCACAGAGATGATGAAGAAGAAGAATCCGAGCGAAAATATACAAAAGATTTGTGCCGTTATGTTGGAGGCATAAAAAAAAGTAAATTTATTTATTTTATTTTTAGATGTTTAGCTATAAAATTATGCAAAATATATATTGGGCGTGGCATTTTTAGTGACTAACCATAAAAAATTTGCTTCGATTGCTATTCTAACCTAAAAATTCGGGCTATTTGTTTTATAAATTATATTTGCTTATATATTCCACATTTATTAAAACTATAAGCTAACTACAAAAACTTACTTGCGGTTGGATTACAGCACATACACCTGTTGGTACATGGTGAGCCATTGATAGACTTTTCTTGTTCTCTTTATGTGCATACTTAGTCGCCTCTCCGAAAGATTTGCAATCGTGGGTAAATGCAGAAATTAAACGTTGACTGTAATGAGCCGAAAGCTCATAGAAAAAGCCAAGCTAACAGACAAGCCAACCAACCAACCGCCGCCCATTGTGCACATTGCAGCTGCAATGCATGCGTCGCGGATGGCGTGGCAGGGAAACCGTTTTGCCACCAACAGCGCAATGACTTCATGGCCAATTTAAAAGTTCTTAGAAGCAGCATAATTTTACTTTAATCTCACTTTTTGAACGTACACGTATGTGTGTTCCGCGGCCATTATCAGCTTTATGTTACAATACTTTATGAAAATACGCAACATTTTCCATTTCGTTTCGCGGGGCGCAACTGTGCCCATTGAGCAGACCACATATTTTCCTAATAGATAGTGGGAATGCACAAAATGCTAAAGAAAATAGCCAAGCATAAGTGCAAACAAAGAAATTGAGTAGATGGAAATGGCAAGCGAAGATACAAGCAAAGTCGTTCGGAGTTGTAGCGCTGGAAGAAGGTTTCAGTGCGATAGAGGCCGTAACAATAACATAACTAACAATTACTTATATGCAGGATTGTCAAACATGCAACAATGTTGCAAGTCCCAGCAATACACTTAATATTTGCAACAATGGTAACTGGAGCAATGCCAATGAATGAGCTAACGCAAGCAGATAGAAGTTCTTATCGAACCTAACGCCAGGCGTTGTAGCAGTGACCAACCGCAAGACCACGGACAAGATCTTATTGCTCTTATGTATTTAAAAAATTACTTTATATCACATAAAGTAAATTCGATTACTCTCGTCTGCACTATGAAGTGCTATGCGCACAGTGTATGTAGGTTTAAACACCTAACTGTTGTAAAAAATCGGCATAGGTATGAACATACGGGAGACCGTGGTATATACTCGTATGTGCATTTTTTTGGAGTCCTGTATCTGACAAAATATTTAATGAATCCAAAAAAACAAAAAATCTTCCAGAAGTCAAATTTATAAGCTGTGGAAGTTTTAATTCCATTTCGCTCTTCAAAATCAATGAAATATCTTTCCTTTCGGGCTTGAAAAAAAAATAGTTGCTAAAACATCAAGTTTCCTAAAAAGCCTAACCAGGAGTTTCATTGATTTCAGCTTCGAAATATCAATTTCATTTGCCGTTTTTTTTATCTGCATAGATAATGTTTATGCCACTTTTGTCCGAGAAATGAATTTCTGTTCGGGACAAAATCTGTGGCTTATTTGTCTTCGGAAGACGTATGCGAATCCTAAGCCGCATTTTTTCTGAAATTGCCATGTAAGTCTGTTCGTTATGAAATGGTAAACCAAATTATACATATACATCATTAAACAACTGTCAGAAAGACCAACTAAAAAAAACACCCCTTACATATTTACATATAGGTTAACTTAAGAAAAAGCTGTCAAGTAATTCGTATCTAACCTAATTTAGACTACTCCCTGGAATCAAAAGTTTTCTATAAGTTAACTCAGGTTAACAGAGCTACATACCGAATTTCAAGTAAATTGAGCCAGTAATTGGCAGATGAGGTGAATATATTAAATATTTTTGTGAGTGAAGTCCACTCAATATTCGCGGCTCAATAAAAATTTATTAGTTTTTTTAGACACTGTTATAAGCACTCACTTGAAGCACGCAATCGCAAAATAGTGAGAACTTGGTAATCTTTTCGGTCTACCTAACTGACTTGCGTAAACCAGCAAGTGTTGCTACGAGGATAGATAGCGGTTTTTATACTCGTAATGTCTAGTGTTATGACAAACGCAATGTCACATGCATACGCTCATATGGGGGAATGTACCATGACGCAAAGACCCTCCAGGAAAGCTGTGTTAAGTTCTATATAGAAGAATTTGGAGCTGCTTGTAACTATCAAGAGAAAGTTTAAAAGAAAAAAAATTAATGATTTTTTGGGGGAGGAGGGTACATATTACCTGAAAATAACATATGCATCGATTTCAAATTTTCATTCAGCACGGTAAATTTCAACAAAACAGAATTTTGCTAAGAACGGGTCGCGAGGAAATCCTTCGAACTGTTAATAGCTAATTTAGGTTTTAATATTTCATTTACATTATTATCGTGGCCTAGAAATTAATTCGATCCTTCTTTAACAGATGGCTCCACCTGCAACTTGTGACTTCGCATCAAACAGCTGAAGCCCACCGAATTCTTGTCGAAATTTATGAGTCGGCGCCGACCGACAAGTCATACAGAGAGTGGTGTTGGCGTTTCAAAAGTGGTGATATTCGCCCACCCAAAAAATTTGAAGATGAGAAATTAAAGGCTTTACTGGCAACTCGCAACATGAAAATGTTCGGCCCCACGTGGCTGTCACTGTCGAAAACCAGCTGGAAACGCCGAAATCGGAGCGCTTATCCCACCCGTAGCATTTCACAAACTGTGCTCCTTCCAACTACTGACATTTCCGACGGATGTCAAACGATTTTGGGGAGTCGCCGGTTCGGAGCTTTCGAAGAAATTAAAGAATGACTCAAAAATTAGATGGAGTTTATAGAGATGGTATTCGAAAATTACCAGGGAGATGGGAAAAAGTATTCGCCTCCGAAGAACAACACTTCGAATGTACTCCATAAAATTAATATATATTTTTTTAAAAACGAGGTCGAAAATTTTGTTTTAGATTTCATTTGAAGTTAAACTGAAAACTAAAACTAAAAATGTATATTTGACACACTGTCATGTGCCAATACCATGCCATTGACTTAACTGTATTAAAACAAGTGTTCTCTTCTCTAATTCATTTAATTGTCGGCAGTTGTATTGCCAACGATCAGCAATGCATTCACAATTAGTGGTTTAGCTATTGGCGAGGATGCGGAACTGTAATAACGATCCGTTAAGTGCGAGGGTGTTTCTTTGGTGGAATATGCACATACTCATAAGTGTGTGCATACATACATATGTATTACGTTGGTTAATGACAGACTTCATAATAAAAACGTTAAACGTTCTACTGTCATCGCATTTAGTTACATAAGAATTTCATAGCTCCCCTTCATTATAAAGAAATGCACACTATAAACAAACTCATTCATAGGTACATACACGTATGTACATTACAATGAAAGTTTATCTTGCTAAGTTAACGTTGCTGTTAACTGTTAACAGTACTTTAAATAAGAGCTTGCACATACATAAATATCTATTTATGTATTTTCCGCAGCAAAATTACAAGAAATAAATAAGAATTCATATAGCGACGACGGTTCATTAATTAGAAGCTACTCAATTAAATTTAAGAAAATATAAAACTTGGTCTACGTTTATAAAAAAAAAAATGTTGACCAATACGAAGGAGATAAGGTTCTGGATCTAGTGATGAGCAAAGTAAAAATTACCTGTTTTGTAATTTCCATCTTGCGCCCACATCTTAGTAATGTCTGTGAAGGGTCTTATTAACTTTTCCGGACTGCGAAATGACAGTAAAAGTGCAACACTCGGTGATGATGAATCAGAATTACCAATCGATGACGATTAGATGAGCATCACATTTCGATTTTGGTTTACTCGCTTAAGCAACAACAATGTCGCGGAAAGTTATGGCTTACCGGCTGAGCTCTTCAAATATGACCATACTAAAAGAGGTTTTGAACAAATTGACTCTTTGTCGTGTGATTTCTTTACATTAGTGCAGATGAAAATAATATAACAAATAAAAAATGAGATATTTATAAGCAATATAATAGAAGAAAATAGAAAAGAAAAAAAAAAGAAAAACGTCTGATTTGAGGAGATTAATACACGTATGTCATTCCTTTGATATTCATCTATGGCATTTTATTTAATTTTTGAATAAATTCGTAGAATGACATTTGAACATAGCTATAAACAAACGAGTACATATGTTTGTTGACTATTTATTGCAATTTTAATGCAGTTAAAATATAGAACTCTTTGATATATTTATATATTATTAAAGTCAACTGATATGGACATTTTCATTTATTCCTAAACGCATAAACAATTACCTAAAAATATATGTACATATATAGGAATACAAACACACGTGTGTGTATGAGTGAAGAAAGGCAAAACCTATCAATCGAACTGAACCACATTTCGGCAACAACTTTTGATGCCAATGCCACCAGCGTACCCGGAAATCAATCAAACTATAAGTATAAATGTACGTATGTACAATACAAGAGCATTCCAATTTCAACATCAATTTTCGATAACATCGAATTGTCGCTTTCTGTTTAACGTCAACATATTCCATTTCTACGAACATACGAGTATACACATATATTAACATATGTATGTGCATAAAAGTATTAACTCTGACTCCAAGCAATGCATATTGTTTTTTATACTATTAATGCATTTTTTTTTAAATTTTTTACTTAGTCCATTTGTGCCATCAGCTCCTTCAACCCCAACCCCACCGCCGACAGCCGCAGTATAGCTTAACATTACCAACAATGGGTAAAGCAAGATATTTTATCCATCTCAGTTCCGTTCAAAAGAGAATAGTTGATTGGAAAGGCGGCTGCGGAAGATGAAACGCCTGTAAAGTAATATAAAAACCGCAAAGTGCCTGCGAAATGACCAACGTACGTGAAATTGCAACGCCTTCCCTTTCCTTCTTCGCCAACCCGAACCATTTTATTGAGACTTACATATGTACATATGTATATACGCATGCATACATACACATAATACGTACTATACAATTGCAGCATTAATACATACATATATGTATACATGTGTTGTAAATAGCATACTCTGCCTCTTAGCCCTCACTCGGAAGCTCACTGCTCGTGTTGGCGCATGCGCTCATCAATGAAAGTAGTCGCGTTGGTTATTACAGCTGTCGTAAAAAGCCACTTGGATGAAAAGAGGAGAAAAAAGTAACATTTAAAAAATACACAAAGTTTGCAAAGAGCACCAAGCCGACACTGTTGTTGCTGCCGACAATACTGAGTGCTTTAAAAACTACGAAGCATAATTCAAAACAAAACAAAAACAAAGCCGAAGTCACCGGGCGTATGTTGCTCCATCGCAGCACACAGCACCACCGGCAGCTCTGGCTGAATACAGCAGGTGCCGTTTGTAGTTATGTAGTGCTCGTGATCAACCGGTTTACTCTCAATGCACTTTACGTCGGCCTCATCGCGAATTTGAATGTTTGTTGAAGTAGTAGTAGTACTGCAGAAGTGTACGGTTTCATTGATAAAAGCCCATTTTATTACAACTTTGAGCAGACCACTGTTGGCTTTTTAACAGCGCATGTTAGGAAGAAAATGTTTACTAAGTTTTACAGAAAATTTCAATTATGGGATGAAGTACATTAATGAACAAATAAAATGGTATCAAAAATCCGGGGAAATTGATTTTTTGAGTAACAAGAGTCTCTTTTAGGTTTGAAAGTTTAACTTCGATACTTGTCCGGTGACTGTCGACTACAGGACATGCAGCCCAATTTCCATATCTGCAATGCCGGCGGTTATGAGGAGTTTTCACTTTTCGGAAGCTCCATATGTGAGGGACAAGGCCTCGATTGTCTTCGCTACTGGGGAAAGGAAAGATATCAGCAGATAAGCTTCTCTATTGTTAGCCGAGTGAAGCTTTCATTCTGTTATCGCGTTTCTTCAACGCGGGTTATACAACGATTTAACTATGGCTTAGAGTTTGGTTGCGCTGAGGAGACGTTGCTGGACCTTAAATACTACTCACATTTGCTCCGCTTATGTCGAATTTTCGCCAATGCTTCTACAAAATTTAGACAGACCTTCGGAATTGGCTTATTTCTCCATTTATAGAAAAACTATTTGCTAGTGAAAATTGGAATGGTGGTTATCTAGGTGGTCATCTAGGTTTTTACCTATTCACCGAATGTGCAGCGCGTGTGAGGCTCGTTCGGTTTTAAATTTTTCATCAGTTGTATTGTGCGAGCCCGCGAACCAAAGACCCTTCCACGATGTTTTCTTTTATGAATTATTATATATATATATATATATATGTATATACATATATATAATTGGCGCTTTGTAACCGCTGAAGTGATTTTCGGCCGAGCTCCTTCTACAATTTGTGTTTTTACGTCCTATTTTTTCCAAATAATGGAGGGATCTACAGTTTATACTAAGCCGCCTCCGGAGGGGTTGACATTCCCTGCCGAGGGCCGACCGCTATTAGAAAACTTAACGTGATATTTTATTAAAATAAATTTTTCCGTAACTTTTTCGATGTTAATACGACACAGTGCTAACCACTCGACTACCGTGGCCGCACTTATGAATTATTAACCACCAAAAATGGCTGTTATTTCATTATATTACTATATATATGAAAAAGTGGAAAATAAGACAGATCTGCGGTAGCTCTAGTTAAATAACTGAATAAAATGAAACGAATCATCTTATAAGAATTCATCATCCTAATAGGACGAATATTTAGTCCATGTCAGTCATGTCCAAAAATTCGCTTCAAAGGCCATTAACAGCAAATAATCTTCGTACATGCAGTCATCTGTATTTATATGTTCATGTATAGAAACCAGCAGTGAGGACTAGTGAAGATATCAGCTGATCGGAGCGCGAAATGTAAAATGTTAGCGCTAACAGTACGTTGCCTGTGACTAGCAGAGACAAGTTGGAGCTCGTAATCAGTTTGAAAACGACTTTCATTCGTAACAGACATGTGAACGGCAGATGCTCGAATATTCCACATTTCATACGAAGTACATAGTTGATAGGTAACATATACAATATAAACAACAACAAAAGCGATAAAAAGCAAATGAAAGAGTTCATTAAATATTTGAAGAAATCGGTGGTGAAAATCGCTTCAATCGCAAAAGCAAAAGAAATAAATAAAAACGATTTAAGCAACGAAGGGGACAGTGTGTGGTAGCAAGAGCATACATATACTCGTATATAGATATTCATACATATATGTGAATAAAGCATAGTGACAAGTGTGCGCCGGTATCCGCAGCATCAATGAATGCCTGAAAACCAAGTGGGCAAATAGTAAGAGCCAAAACAAATACACATAAGCGCACAGAAATAAAAGTAGTTAGTGAAGCTAAATTGAAAATAATATAGTGACAAGCAAAAGAAAAAGCAAAGGTAAAGCTTGCAGGTGAATAGTGGAATTGTCTTTGTTTTTGTTATATACGTATGTACATGTACATATGTGAATTCAATAATTTAGTAATATGCAATTGTGTGAGAGTATTGGAAAGTTTTTCTCATAAATTGTGGTGCATGAAAACCGCGTGAAAATTTGGATTAAACTAAGAAATATTTAAGTGAAACCTTAAACTGGCCTGAGAATACTTTAAAAAAAAAAACAATTCATTAAATTGAACAAAAACATCCGAGTGAAGAAAGTGTTCTTATTGACACTTTAGTTGCTTACTAAAATTGCATTAACTTGTTAACTTTAAATATTACATCAAATCACACTTCAGTGAGGGCTTATCGAAAAATGCATTCAAGTAAGCTGGAGCCAACAACTATGTTGACATCTGTGCCAGCTGGTGGAACCAGCACAAAACTGGAGCAGCACTCCAAGCCCATACTGAGTCCAACACGATCCCTCGACGAAGGTTTCGAAAGTGATCCGGATCGGGTGTCAACTGATTCAGAGCATCAAATAAGTGGAACGGCTTGCAGTAGTAGCAACATCAACAGAGGCGGTATTGTCGCTAAACAAAGTGGCGGCTCAACACTTGCCCAACTATCGTCAGCAGCCACGGGTGGTGTAACAGCAATAAGAACAACAACAACATTATTATCACCAACAATGACAACAACAGAAAGTGCTTCTGCTTCTTCTAGCGTGTCGGCAAAACCAGATTTGCATAAACAACGTTTGCTAACAATGGTCGCTCCACCGCCTCAAATTACAAGACGTCAGCCGGCGTTAAGTGCGACACCTGCCGCAATCCCTGCGAATATCGCTAGCTGTCACCACTTTGCTGACGCAGCTATCAAACAAACATCGGATACATTGATGGAGACATTTCACAAAGAACAAAATGCGAATCATAACAGACGTGGCTCAACGGAATCCACACAAAATAATCAACTGGTCGCCACAGGAAATCAACCCGCCAGTTATGATGCTTTAAACGACAACGACGACAACAGTTATAATAGTAACAGTCACAGCAACAATGTGAAGCATAATTCAGGTACACAATACCGCACTGGCTCCAACTTGGCCGCGCTCACAGCCAATGTGGCACGTGCCAGTAATGCTGCTCTAACAACAACGACGAGCAGCGGGGGCGCCTCTCCGCTACCTTCGCAACGTCTACAGTATCAAAAACAGCGACAGCCAATGGTTGCCTCTGCAGCCGGTCATCAGACAGTACATAATCATCGATTTACTGCCGGTGGCAGTGGCATTGGCGGCGGGGCAAATAGTGGATTTCGACGCGCACGCACAAGGGCCATGTCACCCGCTGTGATCAAGGGGTTACCAAGTAGCACCCATGGCAGCAGCAATAATACTGGTGGCAACGTTGGTGGCATGAAAGTTCATGCCTCCCGCACACTTTTGCTGCCACGCAACACCAATATGCGTTCACATTCCGTTGATGCCATTTCACGTTATCGCAATGGCTATGATCCGGCCAATGCACTTATACTTAAACATGAAGGTAACGGTATTACAAGCACCGGTGGTCATACCCTTCACCACACCAACGGTGCTGGCTCGGTGAGTATGGCTAGCAATGCTGCGAACAATACGCGCATGATGAACTACAAATACCCGAGTGGTGGTGTTGGCACTGCTTCGGCGACCACTGGGCAAGCGCTGTTAGTGCAACCAATTTCGAGTGCGACACTTTCGACGAGCGCAGCAGCCGTATCCCTGCCAGCCGCTACGACAGTACTTAATCCAACAAACGCTGGTGATGCCGCTGCCGCATTGGTAGCAGCAGCTGGTGGATCACCAGTTATCGCTTCGGCCACCAACAGTCTGTACACCTTTTATCCAGCCGAAGGCAATTTGCAAGTATGGCAGTCGGAGTGCGGTGACCTCACATACAAGTCGTCGCGCATTCAGCATACGCACAAGGCGCCGGTTTGTTGGACACAATCGATACCAAGGCAAACAAGACGGTAAGCTCCGAGACTTTTTATTCATGTGCATACATATATGAGTTTACTTACGCTTTGTGGGGTAATAAAGTAGCGCATTGAGCTCAAAGTACGCCGTAACTATAATATTTCAAATCGACATTTTTTTTCTCGAGCGTGTGCTTTGTGAATTACGCTCTGCTGGTCGCTTCTGGCAGGTGAGTCTGCTTCCAATCAATCAATTTGCACTCAGCGGTGCCAGTTTATGCGTATATGCACACATGCATGCATAAAAATGCCGTTGCGTGAACGTAGAAGGTAATTCAGCGCTTAAATTTGTTTTGCGTTTTGCTCAATCCGCGTTGAATGTGAATTTTTGGGCTTTTCCTCTCGGCAACTTTTAGGGTGAAATTCCAGAAAACTTTTGTCTCATGGCAAAAAGTGCACATTTAAACGTGGCCAATGGATTAAACAAAACCCCATTTGTCGCGGCCTTCATTTCATGTCAGAAATACACCCGGAGGAGTTTACATTCCCTACCGACATTACTGTAAATAGGTACATAAAAATATTAGGGGCTTATAACGAACTGAGGTATATAAATTAGAATAGTAGAAATAATAGTAGTAATAATATCAACATGGAATAAGACAAGTCGATGTGACCAGGAGCGTTTTTGTGTTCGCGTTATGGCGGATGATCCTGCAAGATGGATACATTTTCCAGACCTTTCAAATATTTCATTTACACCCAATACGCTGAAACTGCGAAACTGCGACCTGACTTCAACATCTGCGATAAATTGTTCACCCCTCAGCTGTCTTTTCATTTCTGGAAACAGGTAATAGTCACTCGGAGATCTACTCGAACGAAGGGTGGTTGATTCAAAATATCGAAGACCACCTTATACTGGGCAGCCAACGTAACGCGTCTTTTGCGACCAGCCGCTTTGTCACGCTAGAGCAGTTTACCTTTTGTTAATTATCTCGGTTTAAGTTAGGTGAATGTGGTTAGTGCTTGACCAGGAACGTTTGGTGAACTTTCACGTGACAGGGCCGACATGAAAAATATGGCCCAAGAAATACTGTTTAACTTCGAAACTTCATGGCTTATTTCAGGGTTTTATTGATAGCACCACATTTTGTTATTAGTAAGGTATTTGAAGATTTTGAAGTTTTTAATAAAGGCAGTAAATCTCGCATCAATTTAATTGGAGCACAGCTAATCTTCCACAAATGTTAAAGGTCAGTCAAAATTATATTAATTAATTAATTTATTTTTTCCAAATCTATGTATCTATCATAAATTTTAAATATTAAATATGAATTTGGCATCGCAAGCTTGTCTGAATGGAAAGCATTTATAAAATATAAATTATGCTCTTTTTTGACAATTTCTGTCTTTATTGTGTGCAGCTTCCTTCACTCGGCTAATTATAGACTTTATATCCAACTCTGTTATGGACTAGCCAAATTGACAGCAGAAAAATTTAAATATTAAACTCATTAGCTTAATATGCAGGAGTTAATGCAAACCAGTTTCGCTTGGACGAAAGAGAAACAAAAATCTCGATCTCTCAATAAACAAATAAATTTTTAAACATCACCAATGGAATATTAAGAAAGAAGACATTAAACATATGGAAACGTGTTGGGACAAGTTCAAGAATTCAAGATAAATAATTTTAATCTATACACACACATACCTACAAGTGTATGTCCGCAGGAGTTGAAGCTTGGGGTTGACAAGATAATCAGACAATTTTGTTAAATTAGCAAAACTTGGCTAAATTGTAATACGTTATTGTTGTTTTTTTTTTTGTTTTGAAGTATGACTTTTGAGTAAATATAACGGTTAACCCGATTAATTAGTGAGTCAATGAGTTAGAAGAGTGAGTAATTTCCTGAATATCAGAATGTTTTTTAATCCGAAACCAAATTATATGATATTTATTTTAATAGATCTATTTGTTACTGCATTCTATTGCATTGTAGTGTGCAAAAGTAAATTATTTGAAAGCGAAAAACGGCAAACAAATGAACGAAGTTACTCACTTTGCAATTATTTAATTTTCTTGCTTTCATTAAATTCAATTATGACGTTTGATATAGATTTGATTTACTAATAAACTAGTTAATTAATTGGTTTCTAAATATCTTAGAACTATCTTTCGCCTTTATTTACAATAAAAATATATATTCACACACTTTTACGTGCGAAACAAAGTTTTCTTGCAATTGCATTTCATTTATTTATTTATTTACTTTTTTTATTTATTTATGTGTAATAATGAATTTTGTATTATTTATTTTTTTTAATTTATTATAATTAATTAATTTAATTTAATTTCATACAATTTTACATATTTTAATTTATTTAATTTTCTTACATTTTATTTTGTTTCATTTTAATTTGTAGCTTGTTCTCTTCTTTTATCTATTTTATTTAATTATTTTAGCTTATAGCTTTTAGTCATTTTTTGGAGGTAAAGGAAGGAGTAGCACGAAATTGCCAAAATAATTCACCTGCGTCTTAAAATTACCAGCACCGCCCTTTAATTGCTCATTGGCTCGCTTACCTTGAAACAAAATTGTGTGTCGCGATGTGAATACATACATACATTATTATAATGTATGTGGATATGTGTATGTACACAGATGTAATTGTGTGTATGTAATACCAATAAATTTTGGCGACAAATTGCTTACTACAGTTGACTAAAATTCGTCAAGAATCATGCAGGTTGCTTTCGAAATAATTTATTTTATGTCTTGGTATCATTTTGTCCATTCTGAAAATTAAGCTTTAAATAATCTTCTTTGCAACTGTTGTTAAAAACCCTGTGTAATCGAAATATTCAAGTGAACTTTTTATTGGATACAAGTTGACGTTATTGCCCAGATCACTTAGACCATTTAAGCCTTAGACATTTAAGCCTTTCGAAAATATAAACTGTCCACTCAAAATAGTTTATGGAGTTTTGCGAAATGTCGCAAAGGAAATATGTAAAATAAAAGATGTAAGATGAAGTTGCCGTTGTTGTTCACAAATTTGGAAATGATTTGAGAATTTCACTCGTAAATCTTTAACGGGTGCGATGCACCGAAACCCAAAATAACCCTTTACTGCGAGTCAAACTACCATTTTTTATCGCTCTTTATCAGCGTCAACGAAACAAAAGACTTTAGAAACAAACCCGTTTTGTTGTTTCGCTATTTGTGAAACACTGCATACATACGTACATACATACATGCATATATACAGATAAGGCAAGGTGTTGAAATCAACGATGCAAAGCATAAGAAGAAATTAAATTACATGAATTAAATACGGAGAAAATGCAATAATAAAAGTGTTAATTTTAAAATCTTTTATTTGTGCAAATAAAAAATGCAACAAATTTCAAAATATATGCCACACATACTGAATTTGATATGGGTCTTTTCATGCGACGAATTTGTTGCCTTTCAGTGCTGGTGCTGCTGTCAGTGATGCCTTTGGTTTTGTTGATTTTCCTTTGTCGTGGCCTTTCATTGTGTGGCTTTACAGCATTTTTACCGCTCTTAATATTTTTTCTTTCATTTACATATGTATGTTTTACCGCTTTTTTTTGTTGTAATTATGAAATAACTAAAAGCTGAAGGAGCCATCTTACAAAAATATTATACATGAATACTCACACACATACACATATACACACCCAAATGAGTGTACGTGCTTAAATTTTTGTGGCTTTAAAAATAAACATATACGAAGCAATTATTTTGGTTGGTGAACCCACTGGGCAAAAGAAAAAGTAAAAGTTGTACAATAATAAAATCTGCGTCTTTCTGATGTCTTCTTAGCAAAGTTTTCGAATGAGACTGCAAAAGGCCGTTGACGCTGGTAATTCAAATATTTTGCTCATATAAGAATGCAAAACGTGAGTAAGGAAATTTCAAATGCTGTTGAGGTTCTAAGTTAATCTCGCGTAATGACTTAATTATTGTTTAGACTCAATTATTAATTTTCTAATAAAATCCTAAGGAAAATATAAGACCTTTTTGGAATAGCCCACTATCCACTTTTGTTGTTTGGCGTATTTATTTAGTTTAAAATGGGAGAATCTCATGAAAATTCGCACAAAATTTATATCCATTGTGTATTTTTTAAGTGACACATTTTTTATTTGGCAAATAATTAATACGCTGCAGTTCTATGGCTTCATTATTCTGACATATGTGAGAAAGGGGTAGCTACTAAATATGCCTCACACGCATTCAACCTGAACGTTTTGCTGGCGGTCATTTTTTTTGTGACTTTATCATCCCTCTGTAGAGCTCTAGCTCGAAACACACATATCCGTTTATCAACTCATTCCAGTTTGCCTTGGACGGCAAGTGAGAAACACCAAACAAAAGTCATAAAAGTCTTATGTTTCAGCCGACACAACACATGTACGTGCAATGCAATATGTATTAAAATATTTTTTTCTGTAGCACTTCATTGGGGAACAGTGTCTTATTCGTCGCAATAGTCGAGTTGTTAGTATTGCGTATTGCCATTCTAAAGGCCAGGGTTCGAGTCTTGGTTCGTCCACAACATGACATGAAAAACAGAACTCCTCACAAAAACCATCGGCCCTTCGCAGCCAGCTTAGAAAAAACCATTAAGACGCCTACCACAAATTGGCGGATTAACTCGGCCGAAATTCACTTCAGCGGTAACAAAGTGACAATTATAAATATATAGTTTAAGATAAAAGATAAAAATGAATTAAAAAAAAATTCATATGCCTTAAAGTTCTCAGGCAAATCAGGGCAGGCGGGCCAGATCAGAAAATGTTAATATGTTTAAATAAAAAAAGGATAATACGACGAATTCGAATTCGCAAAATGAGCCTGCCAATTGAACAATGTATTTTGATGTAAGCGATTTAGAAATTTAAACATGATCATCACGCTCAGAGTTGAAGCAAACTTGGTGTGGTGCTAATAAGTGGAAATACTTAACGCCCACAAATTAATATGAATTAGAAATACAAGTGTAGTTTCAAATACGAA